TAAGCAAAATTATGAGTTACAAGCGATTTTTTCAAAACATAACTATTTTTTTCGATTTCACGTTACACCTGATCCTACGATCTGATTGGTCAATCAGGTGGGTGCGTTACAACACACACGCAACAAATTATATAAACCAAAAATATATCATTAATTTTTTGCTATAGGTCCAATTTTGGGTCATTTATATAAAAAGACAGTATTTTTAAACTCTAATAACTCAATAACAAATAATTATTTTTTTAAAAAAAGACCGCTATTTTGTAGTAAATTATCTTAGCTACAAAACAGTGGCTTCTGTTTTTTTATATTATTTTTGTAGCATGAGCTATTAGCTTTTAAAAATTAGTTATTTTTATTGTCATTTCTAAGTGTTCTGCACTGTAGCTAAATAAAAATATTTTAAAAACTTAGTTAAACTTGTAGTGTTTTGAACCGTTCAACCGAAAGTTCAACCGGGGCTGATCCGGGTAGACTTACGGGTATTCCCAGCCAATCGCTGATGTTTGTTTACATCGGGTAAAATAGGATTGACACATCCTATTTCACCCAACGTAAACAAACATCAGCGATTGGCTGAGAATACCCGTAAGTCTACCCGGATCAGCCCCGGTTGAACTTTCGGTTGAACGGTTCAAAACACTATAAACTTGTAACAATTCAAGTAGTCTATCAAGATAATAATTAATTTATATTAATATGGAAATGTAACATTAATGTCACGTGTATTTGTTTTGAATAAGTAGCTCAAGTTTTAAGTACGTACGTACACGCAGTATATAAAAGGACAATCGATCAGAACTTTTGACAATACACTAGCTTGAAAAATAATCTTCAGAGAAGCTTTCGTGATAAAAAAATTTTTTTTTTTAGCGTAAAACATGGCCCTGGATCGTGGTACGCCTGAAGGTGTAGAGGCCTGGCTTGCGGAAGCGTCGACAAAACCTTGGTCGTTTCCCACAACGGTTGGACCAGAACTCTCACAGGAAATATTACAACACATTTATAATCACTGGGACACCTACACACCTAATATTAAGTTAGGAGTCTTGTTTGCTATAATGAGCATTAGAAAACTGTTGGTGAACAAGATGAAGGACGAGTTATCAGCGGTAAGCAATAACGTAGTTGGCGTTTTGAATGTCGATCTGATCGTGGTGAATTTGGCTTTTACGTGTCCACTTTTTAATATGGTTGATTTCTAAAAAAAAAGTTGAATTTGCTAAATAATAAAGCTATAATGATACTTGAGAGAACATACAAAGTAAAATAATTACGGGTTCTAGCTTTATTTTGATCAACCAATAAATGTCTATTATATTAATCACGTCTCATGTTTTTTAAGAGATGTGTCACTTTTGTTAATCTAGGAATCGTAATATCAAAGTGTACTTGCTAGATGGGAGTTTTTTGTGCGGAAATTCTACAGGACCATTAAATAAATTATTTATAATGCATCGTTATGCTTCGTTCATGCATGACGGATCTATTGATAGCGAATGCGCTGCAAAAATTGTTATGGATGCTCTTTTTGTACAGCATAGAGATCAATGAATTATTGACTTTAAATTTTTATGCTAACATTATTACTTATTATAATGTATTATTTCAATCTAGATAATCGAATATGGCACTCGAGAACAAGAAGACGAATGGGTTGTTCTGATATCGAAAATGTTGCGGGATTATCCAAATACTTCAGCACTTGATTTGAATATAGAACAACATATCCCACCTGCCGCTCAGAATGGACTTCAAAATCTAATGAACAAGAGTAAATTTCTTCCTTTTTATTAATGATTGTAAATTCATTTATTTTTGTCTCATTTGTTTTTCCTTAACTTATAGTACGACTAAATGGGATCAAATTCCATCCGGTTGAATATGCATTTATTGATCGCAATGTTTGCGATTCTTTTTCTACGCTCTCGTTGAACTCTTCTGTTACATCACCGCATTTTATTTTGCGAGATTCAACTGCAAATTCTGCCAATCAAACACGTACAGCGATTCTAAACAATATGTCAGTACCTCCTTCCCCAGGTCTGACCTCACCAGTAAACGCAACTGGGTTCAATTTTCCACCGGCTGGTCCATCACAAATTCCTATACACGGTCCTCCAAGTCGTTCCAATTCAATGTCTTCCGGACAATCACTTTTTATTCCTTCAAAGCGTCGATCTTCGCAATTAACACAACCCTATCCTAAAGGTAAAAAATTCTCCAAAGTCAGGTACAATTAACACAACCGGCGGTATGCCATAATAACGCGACTAATGTACGCATTTTATACTTTTACCGATATAGTAGGTGCATCGCAAGGTTCGGAATCACCTACCGAACCGAAGGTGGTCACCATTACCCAAGGCAAAAAATATCAAAAACCATCAAGAATTCAAATGATTGATATATCAACGGGATCAAAAATTATTAAGGACCAAGAGGAATCAAAGCGACAGACTCAATTAGGTACGCATATATCCCACCGTTATTTCTTTTGTTAAGTGGCTCTATTTGATTTATCTTTTATACATTTGACTGGAATATTATCAGTGTTGCCAATTTTTGATAATGTGTACATTGCTTTCTGTTGTATGATGTCGGTCAGAGGAACAACAATCGAAGGAAGCACGACGACTTGAAAGAGAAAAAAAGCAGGAAGAAAAACGACGTGAAGAGGAAGAGAAGAGGCAACAAAAAGAACAAGAAAAGGCTGAAAGAGCCGAAAAGCAACGGTTAAAAGAAGAAGCTAAAAGAAGAAGAAGTGAAAAGACCGAAAGGAAGACTACTACGAAGGTTAACACCACAACCGAAACTGAAATTACGGACGCACAAGCAAATACCTATCCAGGTATGTATAATATATAAGTGTTTTGACAATTTATAGGTTATTATCTAATTTATTTATTTTGTATGTGCAGGGACGCGAAAAAAGAAGAGATTAAACAGTAAGTACCAATTTCTTTTAACTCTGTATTCCATGTACATAATTGAATTTTGTCTATCTAAAAGTTACTTAATAATGTACTTGAAAAACATACGCAATATTGCCCGTAGTTATTTAATTATTTAGAATGAATTTACTCATCGAACTTTTCATTGGATTGCAGGTGATGAAGTAGTTGAAGAGGAAACCGTCTCTGATGGAGAGATGTCTCATAAAAATCCCCAAACGATTGTTGCATCACCTACTTCTTTATCGCCGCCAGCGAATCAATTTAATGATCAGTATATCGATAATTCAACAATTAACACTAGCTTTATGCATGAAACTTCGACCGAAGCAGAACCATCAAGGCAACCGATGACATCTGACGTTACTCCAGGTAAATTTGCGCAATTTTTGATGAGTTTAATAATACGAATAATCGTTAAAATTTTCAATTTTATTTATGATCAGTACAACAACCAATGCAATTGCAACCGGCATCTCAGCAGTTTGAAGAACAGCCTAGGCGTAATATGTCTCCTTCAGAAAGGCTTCTTTTTGAACGAAATTGTGTTGCAGTATTAACCGAAGCAAATAAAGTTAATGATAATGCCTATTTAAGACAAATAATTATTAACTTTTTAGGCGGTGTTCATGGTAATTATGACTATTTTGGAATCATCAATGTCGCATGCCCTTTATAACATGAAGCACTTTTTCTAACTAACATGGTTTATGTCTATTTTGTCCCAAGCAGAGACAAATGAACTCAAAGCTGCTTCTGTTGGTATTCTTAATTCTGACGATCCTGTGCGTCAAATAATTTTGCACGAAGAGACTGCCCGAAACCATGATGGCAAAGCAACCACAGAAACTTTAATCTTTGAAATTAATTTGAACAATGGACAGTGGAGAAAACTCAAGAGAAAGAAAGTAAAGGGTCTCAGAAATCAAACAAACGATGGATCAAGCAGCAAGATGAACGGAAGACAGCAAAATGGTGAAACTTGAAGTGCATAAAAAAAATTCATTTCAATAGGCTAGAAAGTTATTAAGACATATATTTGTAACTAAACAGTGTAAATTTTGTCCAATATCTACACATAATAATACTGTAAAGCTTGTTAAGAAACTTATGATTAGCTCAATAATGAAATCGTCGATCTTAATGTTTAAATATTATGTTAGCAAAACCGAAAATTATGATTTACGGAATTATGATTGGTAAACAGATTATCATGGCTAAGATGAAATCAATTTATCAGTATAGTTTTATCTTCTTTTTTTTCTTTTATCGAAAGGTTTTTCTATGATAGATTTATTAAACATAAGCTATTATATAAAGAATGAAGTCAATACATTTATATTTATAAATCTATAAATTTCGGAAACTCGATATCAATATTATAACAACTATACAAGAGATAACTTGTATTGACAGTTTTTATTAATTTCTCGAATTAAGTCAAAAATATTATACATATATGTCGTTTTATTATTGAACTGTTGCATAAAGAAAACATATATATAAATAATAACCGTATAAATGAATCAAAGTTTCTCTTTTCGAGGGGAATCTAATCGTCAATAAAAAGAAGTTTATAAACAAATCTTCAATGATACATAACTAATGAACAACACATCTATATTACCAGGATCAAAAGAGCCAAATTTCCTAAGCGGTTGAACATTCGAAGGAATATTAGAGCCTGGCGGTCGGATGGTTGTTCTTAAAACGTCAGACTCCGATAAAGTGCCCCCCTTGGTACCTGATATTCCAGACACTAGAGATCCCGTAAGACCTGATCTGGCCACAGACGTTGAGTTAACAACATTCCGAACAGACGGTTCATCACCTCGCCTTTCTATCAATAAATAGTGCATTTGCATTCTTAAAC